TCACAAATGAAGACCAGAGCAGGAGGGAAATGACTGGGCTGCAAATTCCATAAAAATAAAATGCTCTATAGTGAGATAAACATGAATTTGAATTTCACTGTGTTACTTAACAGCTGTGCAACTTGGGGTGGTCACTTAACCTCTCTGATCTCATTTTTCTCATCTCTGAAAGAAGAATAATCTACACTATTAGGGTTTCTGCAAGGATTAGAAACAATATAAATAGGTGTGTTTTACCCAGTGGCACTCAGTAAATGGTAGCTATTATGTAACACAGGTAGGTCTCTATATTCATTTAAAGTTTATATATTTTCTCTCCCTAAATTCTAACAACCACCAGGCTACCGGGTCAGCCCAACAATGACGTTGCTCTGAAGGGCTTGGCTGGGTTTAAACTAAGGTCTCCTGCAGCGTCTAGACCTTAGTCTGGTGCAGACATGGGGGTTTTGGTCATTCTGTCCATGGTTGGATGACCACCCCTCTCAATTTGCCTGAGATTTTCCCAGTTTTAGTGTTGAGAGTTCCACATCCTGGCTATATGAAAGTTCAGTCTTGGGAAAACTGGGATGGTTGGTCACCCTACCAAGGCAGTTGGCCGGGAGCAGATGGAGAAGAAGCTGGGTTTCTATAACCCTTCCCAGCTTACTGGATGGAGAGGCCAGACTGGGCACCCACTGGGCCCCTCCTAGGTTCCCAAACAAGGCCTGGTTAAACTAAGGCCAAGGGTGACACCTAGAGGTCATGTAAAGAACTGCAAATCTGGTAGTTACCCAACTGGTCCTGAAGACTTAATTTAGTTGGTTAATTTATATATTTATTGAGCTCTCAGCACGTGCCAACCCTCCTGTTAGGCACTGGTAATAAGTCTTGGGGGTGGGGGTGGGGTGTCTTGGAAGGCATCCTCAAGCAAGTTAAATTTATGCTGAGACCTACTGATTGAGGTGTCAAGACAGGAGGGAACAGCAAAAACAAAAGCTCTGAGTGGAAAGGAGGATGAAACTGTCAAGAAACTAATCACAGTAAGAAGGAATTGGATAGTGGCAACCTGGAAAAAAATAAAGCTGGAAATACTGCCAAAGCCTAACCAGCCACAGGAAATGTGTTTTGCCTTTACCACAAGCTGGTCTGCTCCCATGTTCTGTGGAGTGTACTATTGCTTAATAAATCTTCTCTCTGTCTTTCTGTTACTGCACAGAGATCCAAGGGGGAGGGCCATATTTGGGCCACCCAGGGAAGCCAAAAACTGCTACAGAACAACAGGGGCCCCTCCCAAGGACAGTACACTAATATCTACTGGGCTCTTCTGTCCACAGCCAATTGGAAAGACATCAATGCCAGAGATTTATGAAAAGGAAACGAAATGTTTATTTAGTGCTGTTCAGGCCTAACGCCTCCATTAAAATATCAAAGTCCTTTAGGGTATACACCTACACACACACACACACACACACACACACACACACACACACACGCAGAGTTCTCCCTTCTCCCACTGTCCCAACTGCTGGCACCATAAATCAGGAAAAGAGCACACATCCCTTTTTCAGGCCACTGGCACCATCAGCTGTATCACCGTCCAGGCAGGATCTCGAGTTAATCCAAAGTACTGCAGTACCCTCTCATGGTCCACTGGCAAGAGTTCTTTGTACCAAGTTCCAGGCAAAGTCTCTCCTGCTTCCCAGGCCACGTGGCCAAAGGGGGCACCCCAAAGCCGCATGGGCCTCTTCTACCAAAGCTGCAGGGGTCTGCACTCTACCAAAAGCATGTGTCTTTCTTCACCTGGCTACAGGGATCTCCATTCTGGCAAAGCTGCATGGTTTTCCCTTTCACCTGGGAAAGAGGGTCTGCACTCTGTCAAAACCACATGGCTCCCTCTTTCACCTCGCCAAAAGGGGGTCCTCACTCTGCCTAAAACCGCTCGGCTCTCCCTCAATGGCTGCCATGTCTGGCTTTTAAATCCCTGTGCCAATCTTCCTCTGTACCCCTATTTCTGACTCCTCCCACGATCAGTTACACCTGCCAGTATTTCTGTATTATTACAAGTTTACTGGGCTGCCATCATGAGTCTGGGCAGGTATGGCCTCATGTCCTGGAGCCAATCTTCTCCAAGCTCCCACGCAGGTGCTGTAACTTGGGGGACCTGCCCCCGGTTACATCTTGGGGGAAGTGACTTCATCCCCCTGGCTCCAAGCCTGGCCACAGCCATTTAACATATCCCAGTGACCTGCCAGAGGGTATAGGTATGTTAAATGACCAGGCCATGGATTAGCTGCAAGGCTGTGGCTGTACAAAACAGCCCTGAGTGTTCCTGCTCCATGTGTCCCTTCCCCCAACTCACACTTGTGGGGCAAGGGGTGAGGACATCTTATATGTCTCTCCAATATTCCTATACTCTTTGAATTCTGGACACCATTCCAAATCTTTTTTTTGCCCCCTCACCTTGGCTGCACCCTGTATCATTTCTGCTATAAACTCTCTGTGTGTTCGGTTGAATTCTTTGTCCACAATCACCAAGAACCTCGTTACCTGTGCCCACCTGCAACACTTGCTCTCGTCCACCAGCCTTTGGCGAGCTGCACCCTCATCTGGAATACTTCACTCCACTCCCATCTCCAACAGTAAAAGCACCCCTCACCTTGTCGATGCTTACTCAAACTTCTGGTCTCAGTTTAAAAAGCCCCTTCCCCAAGGAATCCTCCAGCCAATGGTAGAAACCACAGCCTCCTGATTGGCCTCCTGATTGGCTTCCCCATTCCGCCCTGGCCGCCTGTCAGCCTGTTATTTCTGACATGGCAGCCAGAAGGGTTCAGGAGAATTGTGGAGTCCGACCAGGTCACCCCTGAGCTCAAAACCCATCCATGGCTTCCTTGCTCACTCAGAGTTGTTCAAGAGAAAACCATAGGACCAAGATGTCGTCACTTGTGCTAAAAGCTCGTGATACTAAACCTAGATTGAATACCTGATCTAACTGTAGTTTCAGCTTCTCTCAGTAACATAATCTTAATCAATCAGTATGGAATTTTCTGGTCAAGCACCAGTAAGTCAATCTGTCACAAGGGCCCTCTCCATCCCGAATTGCCCCCCTCCATCCCCCCCACACACACACACAGAAAAAAAAAAGAGGCAATCTGCATGATAAAAACCCTTCCCCTTTTTCTTTGCCCAAAGAAAATATATGGGCCCCCAAACAATCCTTTCTTTTGTGTTGTTAATAGTTCCCTTGCCTCACTCTCCTTCCTCCAAAAACCTTCCATTTTGTACAACTCTCAGAGTGGTCCTTCTAGTTGCTGAATGAGTTGGTGCCCAATTCAATTCATAAATCGCTAACAAAGACAATTAGATCTTCAAAATAAATTTTATTTCGTTAAATTTTATTTAACAATGCCCAAACCGTAACATCCTACAAAATTTGCCTTATTGCCACCCCTCTCCCCACCCTTCCCCCCACCCCTCCCATCTTCTTCCAGCTGCAATTGGTCGTCTCATCCACCACCCGCCCCAGTCCTGCCTCAGGGCCGGCACACTTGTTCCTCCTGCTCCCTCGGGAATTAACTCAGAAGTCACCTTGAAATCTGACATTCCTTACAACGTGGACAAACCATGAAGGCATTATTCTAAGGGGAATAAGCCAGCTGCAAAAAAATACCGCATGATTCTCCATACATGAGGTACCTGGAGTGGTGAACATCACAGAGACAGAAAGTGGAACAGTGGTTGCCAGGGGCTGGGGGCGTGGGGGGGGGGGAGCGGGCGCAGAGTCTCCATTTGGTAGGTACAGAATTTCAGCTGGGGATGATGAATTCAGTGAATGGATGATGAAAGGATAAACCAGTGCCATTTGCTATGGTGGTGCCATTTGCCTAGCAGGCCTGTGACCTTGGTGAACATGACCGCCATTTTACTCTTTGGAGCTAGTCCCCAGGACTGGAAAGGACTGGAAGCAAGAACAGAACTAACTGCTCCTGCAGCCACAGGCGGAAGATAACACCCCTGTTACAACCCCCGGACAGCTCAGGGGCTACACAACAGCAACCCCCAACTCTTTTTTAATCCTATTAGTGATATGGGAAGCTTTGAAGAACCTTTGTTTACCCAAACCCCAAGCACCCCAGGAAGAAAGATAGGGCCCTTTGGGAAAGCAAACAGCAGGATATTCACAAGGGTTAGGACTAGCACCCTCACGGTTAGAACTAATTTCTGCATTTAGCCTTTGTACTCTGCTTCTGCCATGTAGCTAGAACTAACTTCCACATTCCACTTCTGTATCTCGCTTGGCTACGTAGACAGGAAGACCCCGTAGACTATATAAACCCCAAGAATCCTTTGTTCAGGGCTCAGAACTTGGAGACTGACTCCTCTGGGACCATGCACGTTAGTAAACCTCGTACTCCAGCATCCCTCAGTGTCTGGTTGCTCCACTTTCCTGTAACATTAGGATCCAATAAAAGCTCAAAGCCCCTACAGCTCAATGCTGGTGCATCTCTCCACACCATGCTCCTCTCCTTTCTTGGCGAGTGAATACAAACTTTCTTCTCTGCACTTTCTTCTCTATGTGAATTCTTTCACAGCCCGGGTCACTGGCCACCCTAACAGATGGCCACGCTGGTTGCACACCGCTACACATGTACTTAATACCCCTGAAATGTAAACTTCAAAATGGTTAACATGGTAAATATTGTTATGTATATTTTACCACCACCACACACACACAAAAAGTCTCCAGAATTTTTAAGCTAAACATGAAATCGCTTACACAAAAAAACTACTTGTTGGGAAGAATTTGTGCTCCTCCCCTATTGGGGCTGACTCCCTTTGTTCAGAGGTTAGGGTATGAGAGTCGACGCCTGGCACGGCGTGAAGACAGCTATTGTGATTTCCGGAGGCTGGGGGAGGGAGGCTCAGTGCCCAGGGGTGTGATCCAGCAGAGGTTCTGGGAAGGAGCAGCCCGGGGTCCCGCTCTGCCCTTTCCGCTGAGACAGCCTTTGGCGGAACTCGGAGTGTAGCTGCATTCGCTCCGCCCCCTCTTGGCCTCACCTACTCCGCCCTGCACTAGCTCCGCCTGGTTCTCTCTCTCCAGGTCGGGGTGGTGAGGCAGAGAGAACCACCAGCGCCCAAATGATCCGTGTGTGATTTCTCCCTGGAAAACTGCTAGGAATGCGCTCTGCGGACAAAACTGGACTCCACCGGTTTGGGACAGAGAATCCTGGAGTCCCGAATAACAGGTGAGCGTGCTCAAGGAGGGACAGTCCAGGGTCACCAGCCAGAACGCCATGGCCGCGCTGACCCGCCGCCTGTGCCATATCGCTTTCCACGTGCCCATGGGGCAGCCTCTTGCCCAGGATCTGCAGCGCTTCTTCAGCTTCCAGCCCTTGGCTGTGCGGGAGGCAAACGGCTGGCGGCAACTGGCCCTGCGCAGCGGGGACGCAGTCTTTTTGGTGAATGAGGGCGCGGGGACCCAGGAGCCGCTGTACAGCCTGAACCCGTGTCACGCTGTGCCCAGCGCCACCAACCTGTGCTTTGAGGTGGCAGACGCGGCAGTAGCTGCGCAGGCGCTGGAGGTGCAGGGCTGCAGAACGCTGGTGCCCCCAGTTAGCATACGGGATGAGCACGGTGCCGCCACCTACACTGTAATCAGCTCGCCGGTGGGCAACCTCAGCCTAACACTGCTGGAGCACGCCCACTACGACGGACCTTTCCTGCCTGGCTTCCGGCCCCTGTCCTACAAAACTGGCCCGGGCTGGATCAGCCACGTGGACCACCTGACCCTGGCCTGCACTCGCGGCAGCTCTCCCACACTGATGCGCTGGTTCCATGACTGTCTAGGCTTTTGCCACCTGCCACTGAGCCCAGATGAAGATCCCAACGTGGGCCTTGAGGTGACAGCAGGGTCTGGACTAGGGGGGCTGAGGCTCACTGCCCTGCAGACCTCACCATGCAGTACTGTCCCCACCATCTTGCTGGCCGAGTCCCTGCCAGGGGCCACCAGGGGCCAGGACCAAGTGGAACGGTTCCTGGCTCACCACAGAGGGCCAGGCCTGCAGCACGTGGGGCTGTACACACCGAACATCGTGGAAGCCACTGAAAAGGTGACCTTAGCTGGGGGCCAGTTCCTGACTCCTCCTAAGGCCTACTACCAGCGGCCAGGCAAGGAAAGTCAGATCCTAGCTGCAGGGCATGAGCCAAGCCAGCTGGCCCAGCAGGGAATCCTGCTAGATGGCGATAAAGGCAAATTTCTGCTTCAGATCTTTACCAAGTCACTCTTTGCAGAGGACACCTTCTTCCTGGAGCTGATTCACAGGCAGGGGGCCACAGGCTTTGGCCAGGGCAATATCCAGGCCCTGTGGCAGTCAGTCCTTGAAGGAGCAAGCCCCCAGGAGCAAGCCTGACAGAGGACACTGGCAGCTGTCCAGCACAGGACCTGGTGGAATAAAAAATCACCTAGAGGCCCAGAGTGAAAGACTCTGTCCCTAGGGGCCAGGTGCGGCCTCCACCTCATCAGTACCTAGCGGACACTGAATCTCTCACTGGAGTCCAAAGAGGATAGTCGATTTTTAACTATAGAATGTTTCTTACATAGTGTATATCTAATACATGTGGAAGATATAATAAAGGAGTATAACTCCTTTAGGAAGTAGAACATGACCAATACTTCTGAAGACTTTTGTGCCCTTCTCTGATCCCATTTTCCTACACCCTCTCCCAATTTTAGGATCATTAACCCCTTGCTTTTCTGTGTTTCACTACATATGTAATCTATCCCTAAATGAATGATTTACGTGAGGTAGAAATTTAAGACGAAACAACTCTTCCCCAGTGCTTTCTTCCTCTGTAAGGAGCAGCCACAGTAGTGGGGAGGGCCAGGTCAGGGCTGAGCCAAAGCACCGGTGCTGGGGTGATGCTGCTCGGCTGCTGCTGCTGCTCCAGAACTGACCCAGGGCCTGGAGTGTGGGGGTGGGGTGTCAGCCACCAGCAGGTGCTCCCTGCTGCTGCTTTCTCCCTTTCCTGTGGGCCCAGGGAGCTCTGATGACTCTGGACAGTACACTCCCCTCTACCTGCCCCGGAGCTGGCCAGGAGCTCAGCCAGTAGAAGTCGGGACCAAGTAGGACCTGACCACTTTCCCGGACCCTGAGGTAAGGGCACTAGGGAGAGGATGGAAAGTCTCCAAAACAACTACAGCCCTGGCTGGTGTAGCTCAGTGGATTGAGCACGGGCCTGCGAACTACAGGACTGCGGTTCAATTCCCAGTCAGGACACATGCCTGGGAATATGCCAGTTCCCGGAAGGGGACGCAAGAGAGGCAACTATACACTGATATTTCTCTCCCTCTCTCCTTCCTTTCCCCTCTAAAGATGAATAAATAAGTACTTTATTAAACAGGATTCTCAAGGGGTATGGGGCTTCCAGAGGTATCACTGGGCCACACCAGTGAGTCCAGGTGCATCAGTGGGGATTCTGGGCCGGAAGAAACTATCCAGGACTTGCTGGCCTGGGCTGGGCTTCTTCCGCCTGGACAGAGTAGACACCTGGGATCTTTTGGAACTCTGTTTAGAAGCCAAAAAAGGCACTGAGAGGACAGCAGAGAATACTGTCCTTGTACCCCTACCCCCACTCCACTGATCTAACTCAGACTCTCTTGAATGTAGAAAAGCTTCTGACCTATCTCCAGAATCTGCCTCTTTGGTCAACTCCCGAATAGGCAGTCCGAGGTAATCTTCCTCCAATATAAATCTGAGTCGTTTCTCCGCCTGTAACGCTTCGGTGGCCTGGTGTCCATGACCCTGCTGACTGCTTCAGCCAAACCAAATGCTCGGAGTTCCTCACACACTGCACTGTGCCCACCGTGACTCCCACTACCCGTGGGCCTGGAAGAACATCCTTGTGCTGATTCCCTTCCCAAACCCAGATTACCAGCTGCTTGTTTCAAGCAGCCTTTCTCTGATCCTTGCCTCTTACACAGAACCGAGAGCTCTCCACCTGTCTCACAAAATCTAGTACGAATATTTCACACACCTGACACTACTGTCTCCATCATTGCTCTGGTCCCCTCCCCATCTGGACCCCAGACTAACTATAAGTTCTCTAGGTCAGGAACTATTCCCTTCCCCCTAGTGAAACCTGGAGTGGGTAATGTCACCCAAATGTGTACCGCTTAACTCACTGGATTCAGGCTGAGGGAGAGAGATGGCTGGGTGAGGACCCAGGGACTCACCTTGTAGTTCCCTGGCTGTCGGCCCTCATATACACGGAACACCTGGCCAAGAAGAGAGGCAGAAAGTGCAAGGCTGGCATCTTCCCCCAAAGAGCCAGAACCTTGTGTTCTGTCCTCAACTTCATGCCCCAGTACTTTTAAATATATGCTTTTCTTTTTTCCTGTTTACATAGTAATAGGTTCACATAGAACATGTATGAAACACAACAAAAGACCACAAAGACAATGCCTTTTTCATGGCGGTGGAGACAGCAGCAGTATGAAACTCTTCCCGGGTCAGCCAGCGAACGCCAGGTGGTGTGACTGTCACTGGGGCCTGCCCTTCCAGGGCCAGACCATATACTTGATAGGTCAGCTTGATGTGCGAGAAGGTGTGGACCACCTGGGGGAGGACGATGGGTCTGAAGCAGGCCTATGGATGTGGCTGAAAAAGTCATCGTTATTGGCCCCTCAAGGCTCACTCACCTGCCCAAGGTGACGCAGGCGGGTGGCAGGGAGAGGCCCCACCCAACTCTGCAGTTCCTGCAGCAGAGCTTTGCGCTGCTGCCGCCCCGAGGGCTCCGCAGTTACAGACGGGAACTCCCACAGTCCTGCCAGCAGACCTGAGACAAAGGGCGGCAGGTATGGCTTAGGCCTTAGCTGTTGACACCTCCATTTATCCCCTTTTGCTCACGCCACTGCCCTCTACTCCCGGGACCTAGGTACCTGAATTGGGCCTCTGCACCAGCAGAATTCGGGCACCCCCAGGGGCCCCGGGCTGCTCCAGAACACAGGTGGCAGAGTATTCCTCCCTGGGGGGCCTGCGGCTGGCCTTTCTGGGAAAGTTGACCACTCCCAGGGTCTGGTCCCAGGGCTCGGCAGGAGGTATGCACAGCTGGCACTGTCCGGTGTTGGGAGCTGGGGACAGAGCCCCAAGCCTCACTCAGGCAAGGTAGGCTTAGGTGAGAGCAGGCCTCTGCCAAGCTCTGTAGAATCTTACTCAGGGTGTAGGATGAACTGAAATGAGGCCTCCATGGGTAGCTCCTTGACAGTGCAGGGATGGGCCGGGACTGGGGCAGGCACTTACCACACTCCTCCACGTCAGGACTGCCTGGCAGGCTCTGTGAGGCTAAAAGCTGTTCCCGCTCCACCTGAGAGGCGTAGAGTAAGATGTCGTGGGGCAGGAGTCACTCCTAGGATAAGACCGCCCCTTCCCCGATGGCTTACCCTCTGGTGTGCCCGGCACAGGCTCTGCACAGGGCACTGGCTGCAGAGTGGGTGCTGTGGGGTGCACACCGTGGCCCCCAATTCCATGGCTGCTTGGTTAAAGTCTCCCGGCCGGGCTGGATCTACCAGTTGCTGGGCTAGGCTCCTACCAGAAGGGAACATTTCTGTGAGCCAAGGAACCTGTGATGGCATCCTTCCCAATATCCTGCATTACCCCAACATCCTACCAGAGCTGCTGGGAGACAAGGGTGCTGCTGGGGTCAGCACCAATGACTCGGACACGGCATAGCACCCGCAACACATTCCCATCCACCACACCGGTCACCTGGCAGAGGAGGCTAGGAGTCAGCCTGGCCTGGGAGGAAAGTGGGCACACACAAAATGGGAGTGGGCTGTGGGCTCACCTGGCCAAAGGCAATGGAAGCAATGGCTCCAGCTGTGTACCGCCCCACACCGGGCAGGAGCCGCTGCAAGGTCTCTGCTGTACGTGGCACATGGCCCCTGAGCTCCTTTACCACCTGATTGGGGCAGGAAAGCTCAAGGTTAGGAGACACCTGAGGCCCCGGGGATCCCAGCCTCCTTGTTACCCCTTTACCTTCCGGGCTCCCTCCTGCAGCCTCCGGCCTCGAGAGTAGTACCCCAGGCCAGCCCAGAGCTGGTTCACCTCCTGTGGGTGGCGTCAAAGGTCAGAGAGATCAGTGATCAGTCCTCTTTCGTCCCCATTCCCCTCTCACCTCCCCGCCTTAGGGTGAGTCTCACCTCCAGTGAAGCACTGGCCAGATCCTGCAGTGTTGGCCACTTCTGTAGCCACAAGGTAGGCAAAAATAAATGAGGTCAAGGGTGAGGGAGGCAGAAGAAGCCTTCTTTACCCCTACCCCAAAGGACAGGCTCTCATCTGGGATTTAGCCCATGACCCTCCCCTTCCTTCCCTGAAGTCACCTGCATCCATCTGGTATAATAGTCGATCACCGTGGCAACCTGGGTCTGCTGCAGCATGACCTCTGAGACCCACACTGGGGGAGAGGGGTTGGCAATGAGGGCACTGCTGTCCTGCCTGCTCCTAGCCCATAGCTCCTGACCCCAGACCTGAGGGCGTCCAGGCAAAGCAGCTCTGCTCTCAGGAGATGTACTCACCAGCATATGCTCGCCTGTCCAGGTCCTCCTCACCTTCTGCCTGCCAATGCAATCCCAGATGGGGAATTATTGTGGAAGGGGCTGGGCATGGGCCTCCCACCCCCCTGTCACTGTCACTGTCCCTTGTCTGCCTACCCATCTTCTCCAGGGCAGGTCCCGCTTCTCTCGGTCATACCAGCTCAGCAGGTTCTCCCGGAAGACTGTGACCTCAACTGGATCTCTGAATAGATGGTCCAGGCAGACAGAGGCCTGCAATACCACCTCCTCCTGCCGCCTGGCCAGGCCTGTCAGGGCCCCAGGAAATTCAGGAGTTGTCCCTGCACAGACTGTGCACCCAGGACCTGGGCACTGCAGCCTGGCTTCGGTCTGATCCCAATTAGGGCTCCCCCTACTCCCAACCCATTGATTAAGCCTTGGGCCTGGAGTCAGACCATAATTCTCTAGCTGTGTATTGCCTTAGCCAAATTTTTAGCCTTAATTTTCCCAGAGTGGTACTGCTGGCTCCTTTGCCTCTCTGGGTCTTAATGAAAATCTAACAGTTTCAGCCAAGCTTAACACACCTGTGCAGGGCTTTCCCATGTAAAAAATACTTTCAGGCTGATAAACTCATTTGATCCCATGAAAGCCACATGAGGAAGAAAATGCAGACTACTGCTCCATGCCGCTGGTGAGAAAGCAGCCATTCAGAGCAATCATCCCAAAGTCACAAAGCAAAGTCAGAATCAGATCCGTAATTAGTCCCTTAATGCCTTATTTACACACACACACACACCATACTCCCTTCCTAGCCTGAATCTGCCCCCTTTCATGGTCAATGAAACCAGCCCCAAGTTTTTTACTAGCTCCGAGCTCCTCACCATCAGGGACAGAGGGCTTGGCCTGGCTGCTGCTGAGGGCATGTTTCTTCCTTCTCTCCTGGCTGGATGCCTGCTTCCTGCAATGACTTCCCATAGCTGCTCGCAGCTTCTTCATGATGGCCTAGAACACAAAGGCCCAGCCCAAGTAGTCAGTCAAAATGAGGCTGAGTCTTGGGGCCCTGCAGGGGGTGGAGTAAATTGAGGCTTGTAGAGATTAAGCAACCTGTCCATTCAAACCCCCAAAATTAGCTTCCAGAGCCTACACTCTTATACTCTGCTATACTGCAGTCCCTGCTGAGCCTCTGCAAACTCTCAAACTTTTGACTTTATTACCTCATTTTCATCAAAAGAGTTTGTTTCCTTTTTGAGAAAAGAAAATGAATGTACAAGCTTACCTCCATCTGCACACTCCTTCTGTGAAAAACGGTCCCTCCTCCTAAATGGAGCTCAAGGTCCTGCTCCTCCAATCCCCTCCACAAGACCACTCTCCTCCCCTTCATAGCCAGACTTCCTTCACCAAACTCACTTCCATAATTCTATTCCACAATCCAATCTCTACAGAGTAAAGCGATCTTTTAAGACATGATCATGTCACTTTCTTACTTAAAACTTTCAGTAGCTTCCCATTAGTTCATTCAACAAATATTTATGCAGTGCCTGTGTGTCAAGGAGCGTTAGATACTTGAACACTTCACTAAATCAAGCATCAAGAATTCCTGCCCTCACGGTGTTTACGAGTATATTCTAATGGAGGCAGACAGTAAGTAATATACATAAGTAAGTTATATAGGATGTTAGGTGATAGACACTAGCATAAAAAGTAGAGCAGGTAAAGGGGATAAGAAATGGGTAGGGGATAGAAAGTTGCAATTTTAAAGAATGTGGTCATGGTGGGCCTTATTAAAGTGATATTTGACCAATGACTTGAAGCAGTTACAGAAGTTAGCCATGCGGACCCCTGTGGGAAAGGCATACTGAGGAGCTAGCGTAAAGGCCCCAAGGAGGGTGCCTGGTGTGTTTGCGGAATAAGGAAGCCAGTGTGGTTAGAACTGAGTTAGGGGATGAGGACTAGAAAATAAAAGCAGAGAAATGATGTAAAGAAGGTGGGGGGCACAGCATCACAAAGTACCTTGTAGGCCACTGGAAGACTTTGGATGTCACACCCATTGCTCTCAGAAGCCAATCCTCTTAATAGACATAGTCTTGCAGGCTCTAAGGCTCCATCTGCCTCATCTGCTAGGTCACTATGCTCCAGCCATGTTTGCTTGAAATAGATGCTTCAATCTGCCAAGTGTTTGCCCACCTTGAGGCCTCACCCAGTCCATGTCCTCTGCTGGGACAGCTCTTCTATGCTTTACCAACATCTACTCATTCTTCAGGCTTTTTTTTTTTTCTTCAGGTCTTGACTTAAATGCCCCAATCAAGTCCCCTGAGTCCTGCCCTCTTGTGTGCATTTCCACTGTTGCTCTAACACCAATTGCAATTTGACATTTATTTCTGATTCTCTGATCTACGTTGCTTCCCCAACTTGACTGTAAAACTCCATGAGAGCAAATACTGGGTCTCTTTTGTGACTATTGTGTCTCCTGAGTTAAGCACAGCGCCAAGTCAATTGAATACAACAAATATTTGTCAAATAAGGGGGATGGCAGGGGGCGGTTCCTTATTTTTAGAATGGGATAAATCCAAATAATTCTGAATGATGCTGAAAAGGACTGAGTAGAGAGAAAGGATGAATAATAACTAGGAACAGTGAATAACCAAGAAGAAGGGGTTGAGAGTCTTTGGTAGGAACTGGAGCTCTTGGGAAAGGGCTGGTCTTTGGTAGGGACATCGACTTCCCGGGGGTAAGGAATCATGGCCAATCATCCTCGAGGTCAACTTCCCTCCAAATTGAGCATTTACACTTTAACCCCAAACTATTGGGAGCATTTACAATTTAACCCCTCCCAATAGTCTCCATTGCTGGAGCCTTAATTCAAGACTTTATTATCATCACTTGCCTGGATTATTTCAAAAGCTTCCCTGCTAGTGGACTGCTCTAACCCCTCTGCAGCCTCGGCTCTCGTCCACCTCCTCGCCTCTTTCACTTCCTGGAACACAGTGAGCCCCAACCTTCCAGGGAATTTGCCCTCTCCTAGAATATTCATCTCTCCCCTACATTCCCCGGTCTTTGCCTAACTCCTACGCGTGATTTAAGCTTAGCTGCGGCAGCGCCACTTCCTCTAGAACACCCACCTCTACCCGGGAGCTGTGTGCCTGAAGACAGCCTAAATCTCAAGCCCTCGTTGCCTTTAGCCTGCAATTACCTCCCGTGCAACGGTTTCAGGGGGCGTGGCTCCGGCCTATCCTGCAACGAGGTGGACCGCGATAGCCAATAGGCTCCCAGAATGCTACGAACCTACTTCTCCGCGCCGGCCCGGGAGGTCTGAACCGAACTCCGGCCCTCCAGCGACTTCCGGAGGCCAGGGTCCGCGCCCACCCCCGAACGAGTTAATCGCGCCAAGAGACAAAGCGGAAGTCCCGCGTACCCACAGATTATTAAGGAGAGGGACGCGCGGTGTCATGGCCGCCAACAGCGGCGCAGCCTCAGGTCCAGCGGTCTCTGATGGTGAGTGGCTCTTCAAAGGCCGTCATAAAAATCTGTGCGCTCGGGGAGAGGGGAAGGCCTCGGGCTTATAGTTCTAGAAACCGACCTCAAGTTTCAGAGAACTTACTTCTTCCGTCTCAACCAGACACGTGGAGACTACAAGTCCCGGTGTGCACCGCGGCTCTGGTTACCAAAGCCGGGAGCATTGGGAGCGCGTCAGGGTGGATGGGGTCATGTCGGGAGATGTAGTTTAGAGCTCATTGTTCTGTTAAGTGGGGCAGATTGGGCATTGTGGTCCAAAGGAAATGGGACGTATTGGAAGCCCGGGTGTGGGGCATTATTTATCAGGCTCTGGGGCATACAAACTACTGCCACTTGTGGCTGCTAGGCACCATGGGAACGGTACTGTGGAGCCTGATGAGCAGTTAAAAGGGCTGAATTCTTTGAGCCATAACAAACGGTCCCTGCAGGACATGGGAAAAACAAAGCTCACAGGTTATCTAGTCTAAACTTCGTCTTCCACAGATAGTGACACTGAGGGAAATTTTTCCCAAAACCTCACATAAACCACTGGGAAGACGCAGGCTTTCTGTCCCCAAATTCAGGGCACCGTTCACGCCAAGGCTGGTGTGTAGAGCATACCGGTAACAAAGGCTTGAGGGGAGAGCTGCTCTTTCTTGCCGTCATGGAAAATATTCCCAAACCATGGCCTAGCTTGGTATCTTTTACCGCTGCCCTTGCCCGAGCATTAATATTCATGGTTCTGTCCTCCTTACCCCCAGGTGATGTCAGCAAAAGCTCAAAATCTGGAGATGAGCTAGTAATTCAGGTTCCCGTGGTTGATGTGCAGAGTGACAACTTTAAGGAGATGTGGCCATCCCTTCTGTTGGCCATAAAGACAGCTAGCTTCGTGGCTGTGGACACGGTGAGGGTTTGGGATTGGAGAGGGCAGGTGCTTGTGAAAGTGCTGGTGCTGGGGACCTGACTCAACTCTCCCTTCACCCACCCGTAGGAACTGAGTGGGCTGGGGGACAGGAAGAGTTTGCTGAATCAGTAAGTATAAGCCATGACCTCTTGGGTTCCAGCCTTGACGAGGGGAATAGGGGGATAGACCTTAATCCTTGAATGGAGGTCACATCCTGGGTGGTTTGGGTCCTTCTTGAGACTAACTTCTAGCCACAGCCACCCCCAAACCCAACTCCAAGGTGCATCGAGGAACGTTACAAGGCCGTGTGTCACGCTGCCAGGACCCGTTCTATCCTCTCCCTGGGCCTTGCCTGCTTCAAGCAGCAGCCAGACAAGGTACGCGGTTGATTTCACCTCCTTCCAAGGTTTGTGGCTGCGGGGAGGAGGAGGGTTGAGATCCTGGGAAACATCGTGTGTGAGGTTATGACGTAGCAGACCCTCCTCCTCCCCCAGGGCGAACATTCGTACCTGACCCAGGTGTTCAACCTTACCCTGCTGTGCATGGAAGAGTACGTCATAGAACCAAAGTCTGTGCAGTTCCTGGTACAGCATGGCTTCAACTTCAATCGGCAGTATGCCCAGGGTATCCTGTACCACAAGGGCAATGACAAGGTAGGCCTCCAGCCTGGAGACTGACCCTTTAGTGACTTCATTTTCTTCCTACCCTAGGCTGGATGCACGGGGAGGATCTGCTTCTTATGGCAAATGGGGAATCACTAGTGACAGGGCTAGAGAAACAAGACTAATATGTGGGTGAATAGCATTGAGTTAGGAGGGAGGGAGTGCTTTCCAGGTAGGGGAGTTCGGAATTAAGTATGGGACTCTGTCCTTCCCCACGACCCCTTTCTTTTCCATCCAGGGTGATGAGAGCCAGAGCCAGTCAGTGAGGACTCTGTTTCTGGAGCTAATCAGGGCCCGCCGGCCCCTGGTACTGCACAATGGTCTCATAGACTTGGTGTTCCTGTACCAGAACTTCTATGCACACCTACCCGAGAGCCTGGGTACCTTCACTGCTGACCTGTGTGAAATGTTCCCAGCTGGCATTTATGACACCAAATATGCTGCTGAGTTTCACGCCCGCTTTGTGGCCTCCTACCTAGAATATGCCTTCAGGAAATGGTGAGGGACTTGCTGAGGGAAAGGGATGGGGCCGGTATAAACCTGTTTCATTCATTTAAGATATTTATTGGGTGGTTACCATGTGCCAGGCACTGTTTTAGGTGCTGAGGATTCAGCAGTGAGCAAAACAGAAACCCCTGTTCTCATGGAATTTATATGCTAGTGGGCCAATACCTTCTTGCGCTGTTACAGTGAGCGGGACAATGGGAAACAGCGGGCAGCTGGCAGCCCACACCTAGTCCTGGAGTTCTGCAACTATCCCTCTAGCATGAGGGCTCACATAGACTACCGCTGTTGTATGCCCCCTGCGATCCACCATCCTCATTCCACCAGCGTCTGTGATAAGTTCTCGGTGAGAGCACCCACCCATTTCCTGAGGGAGGGTGGGTGGGTTCCAGGTTTTGATACCTGGAACCCCTCTCTAATCCTTCTTCCTACCTCTAGGCCTATGGCTGGTGCCCCCTGGGATCACAGTGTCCTCAGTCCCACGATATTGACCTTATCATTGATACTGATGAAGCTGCCATGGAGGACAAGCGGCGACGGCGACGACGTAAGGAAAAACGGCGGAGGGCTTTGTTGGGCCTGCCTGGGAAACAGACCTCTGGGGAAACTGAGGATGGCCCTCCCACAAAGCAGGTCTGTGGGGAAGGCCTCAAGGCTGAGAAAATTGAGCAGGAGGTGGCTGAGGATGAGACTAACAACCAGCCTGGCTCTCAGCAAGCTCACAAAAATGACCTAGAGGTGGAACTTGAAGCAACAAGGCCTGAAACAGCTGATGTGGCTACCTTAGAAGCACCAGGGAGTCTAGTCACTCCTGACCCAGTGCCTGCGGATGGATTGCATCGGGCTGGGTTTGATGCCTTTATGACGGGTTACATAATGGCCTATATGGCAATGAGTCAAGGACCTCAGCCCTGTAGTTCTGGACCCTGGCTACCTGACTGCCACAACAAGGTATACCTGAGTGGCAAACCTGTACCCCTCACAGTGGCCAAGAGCCAGTTCTCCCGTTCCTCCAAAGCCCACAAGCAGAAGATGAAACTAGCTTGGGGCAGCAACTGACCTAACTTCCACTGCACTCAGAGCCAAAGAAGAGAAAGCTAAGGGTAGAACAGAGGGCTCTGGGTCCCTCTGGCCTGTGAATGTCCTCCTCCCAACTACTACAGAGTTGAGCAGGGGAGTTCCCGACACAGATACTACTACATTGCTCCTGGACCTTCTTGATACCGGAGGCTCAGGAACAATGGTACAAGTGAGAAAGCTGACCAGCACCTGTAACACCAACTTTATTTTTAAATCTGAAAGTGTCTTGGGATAGTTTTACCAAAAAAATCAGCAGAAACAAGTTATGAAAATATTTGACCGGCTTCATCTTTGGTTATTTTGTATTGCGGCTCTATAAGAACAGACTGTTCCCATATCTCCAACCACAGCAGGAAGGGAGGAAAATCAGTCCACATATAAACCGTTTAACCAATTGGGTATATTACATGTTGACAAAGACAAAGAGCAGACCCTAGGGCCTACAAAACCAGCCCCACTCCCAACCACAAGGTTGAAAGTCATAGGGCAGAACATTAAGACTCCTTCATAAATATGAAAATAGATTAATCAACTGGAAAGGATCTTTGAATAGGTTAGCTAAGAGCCATGACCACCTCGCTGCCTTACTCTCCCCTTGCATAGAAATGCAGTGACGTGGTCTGACTGTGTAAGTGCAAACAGCAATTATTCAAGTGTCTTAGACATACTGGCAAGAAGCACCCCAGTGTTCAGGTCCAAGAAATAGTCATGCCCTTTACGGCCTCCTGGTCAGCTCCAGGTTCCATCCGGTAGCTTATATGCCCCAGAAAAGGGCAAGAGACAGACCTGGGGTAGAAGGAGAACCTGGGGTAACAGCTGCCTGCCAGCTCAAACTAGAACTAAGAGTCTTCTGGTCCTGTCTGCAGAAGTGCATTGGGGGGTCAGGTAGAAGCCAGAGTTCTTTGCTGGATTTCAGAGCCTTGGTATCAGCTGTTGGCCCTAACTAGGAAGGCCTCTCACTGCTGCCTCCCCTCTCATACACAGCCGTTGGGCACTGGGAGCCCCCAAGTCAAGCCTGGCTTGGCCTAGCCTGCCTGTTCTGTGGGCCCCAGGGAAGAATCTAGGCTGTGCACCAAGTGGGGGTGAGGGGCTGTGGCTTCAGTTGAAAGTCCATCCTCACGGTGAAGCAGGAATTAACCCTTCTCACCCATCCTGCTCTCCCTGGGTTTTCAGGCCTATGCCTGAGACAGAGAAGGGGACTGGAGCCAAGCCTCTTGGCCTTTCTTCTTCTACCTCCATCTCCTCAGAGGTACCTGCAAGGCAGGGACTGGCCCCCTGAGGCCTGGGCCCAAAACCATTTTCTTCCTGGGGAGTGGAACAGTCCATGGCTTCATGGGCTGGAGCAGCTGGTAGGGCAGGTGCTCGGAATGGTGGTATATCTCTTACTTTGTACTTGAGACTACTGAGACGTGGTGGGGGCCCATCAGACAGTGATTCCTCTTGACCTACAAATGGACAGGCCTCTTGATGCAAGAATTCTGGTGAACCAGGCAAAGAACGCCACCGGCGTGCAGGTGGGGCCAGGGGTTCCTGCCAGTAAGCCACAGGCAAAGTTCCAGGTCCTGGTGCATCCAGGTCAAATACGAGGGAGATAACAGACTTGCTGGGCAGGTCAAAAAACTTGATCTTGCCACCCTTGAGGTCCTGGCGGGCGCTGAAAGGGTTGATTTTGGGTGTGTGGGCAGCGCCACCTCGTGGCTGGTAGTAGGGGTCCAAGACATTCACTGTACGTGGGGGCTTGTGGGAGAAGATGTCTGATTGGCTTCGAGACAGCCAGATAGTACGTCTTGGGCGTGGGGACTTGGGAGGGATCTTGTCATCTAGTGAGCTCAGTCGCTTCACCCCAGGTCCTTTTTCCAAGAGTCCTGAAGAATAGTAAATTAAGTAAGGGTTACTTTCACTAATCATGACACAGCAGCAGTATACAAAATGTTTTGTTTTTTTTTACTTGAGAAAACAAAGTAGGTGCTGTGTCCTCATTTCACCAGTGAGAAAACAGACACAAAGAAGGGAGGCAATATACCAAGTCAAAACTCTTGGAGTTCAGTACTTTTTCCATTGTCCCCTTGCCCCTGCACCTTTCTTTTGAATGTGGAATCACAGCCATAGAGGGGAAGACCCCACAACCAAATTTCCTCCCTTGGGATCAGCTTGGGCACTGGTCGAATCTCTTACCCTTGGCTGTGGGCTGCAGCTTCCTGTCCCTCTCCAGCTCTTCCTCCTGTAGGCGGCTCAGAATTTCCTCCAGGGTCTTCTCAATCTCCACAAAGGATGGGCGCAGTTTGGGGTCCATCTGTAGTCCACAGCAGCCATTAGCCCTGCCCTCCTACCTTCCACCCCAAGGATAACATTTTAGTCTGTTTCTAGCATCTTTTAAGCCTCACATGCAGCTCAGAGATCTTTTCTGAAGGCCACAGACCATGAGGATAATTCCCAGAGCTAAGATCAGGGGAGATGCTATTGTCTAATACCCTCCCCTATCTTAAACACCCTTTCTGTGTCTTATTCCCTTGTCCCCTTGTTTGGCACAGGACTCTCCTTGAGGATTTGTTCTGTTCTTTCTTGAGTTCTGCAGTTAATGTGTTTCTTGAAGCTACCTAGACAGCCCAGCTACTCCTTGGTCATAACAGGTAGGTCCTGCCCCAGAGCTGTATGAAATTAAAGCTAACAAGATAGGCAAAGTGTGGTGGGTCTACCCTGCAGGCTAAGGACAGGATATTACAAAGCTATTTTCCTTTCCTTGGTCCAGGGCTCTGGAGAGTCTGGCAGGCCAGAGGATTGGGGGGAAAGGGCACTGCCATTCATCGGTGAAAATGAGGCCCTTCGTGAAGCTAATTAAGGAGCCCCTCCCTATAGTCTTAATCAGGTGAACCCAGCCCCTGACCAAAACCAGAAGCAGGTAGAGACACTCACATTACAGCAGTTGAAGGTAAGCTGCAAAAAGTCTGGGGGACAGTCTCCCACCATATGCTGAAAAGCGTCATAGTCCAGCCCGAAGTTCTGTGCATGGGTATGGTGGGGAGGGAACAGAGGACATGGGCAGAAGAGTTATTAATCCCTCCATCCATCCTGGCCTGCTCAGGAGAGGCTGGGAATTGCCCCTGAGAAATAGCCACACAGACTAAGTTCCACCCCAAGAACAAAACAGTTCCACTGTCTCAAAAGCAGCCCCACCCCAGTGGCGCAAATACCCATGCCTGCAGCTCACCTCTGTGCGGGGAAGGTAGTCCGGATCAGCCTGGATGCGGGCGATGATCTCACAGAGGATGATACCATAAGAGAACACGTCCGCCTGGTGGGTAGTAAGACCTCAGTTTCCCTCTCAGTGGGGCAAGAGGTGGGGTTTCTGCACCTCATGTCCACCAGCACAGGTCCGGGCCCGACTGCCCACATTTCATTCAGTTCACTCACTGGGTAGCTGCCAGGTACCAGCCCTGATCCTGTTTGTAGATTCTCACCCTGAACATCATAAAGGGTGATCCTGGACACTGCTAAGAGTGTATTCTGAGAACTGAGCCTTGGTTCCCTAGACTCACCTTCTCATTGTAGGGCTCATCTCGGAGAACTTCAGGTGCCATCCAGAAGGGTGAGCCCACCACAGCCAGCTTCTCACTGCCCCTGCTGTGGGGTGAGATTATAGGGAAAACGAGCTTGCTATTTATTGGCTGGTACAACAGGACACCTGATGGGAATCCTTCCCCGAGGATGGGTGCAGACTAGGACTGACCAAATTTAGGGGGCTGAGGTTGAGCTGTGACCTGGCCCCTGGGAAGGAAACTGGAGTTTTCCCTTTGCCTTAGTCCCTTCTGTAACCCCAGCACCCATTAAGGCTACCCACCTGACATCAGGAATCTTCTCAGCCAGGCCAAAGTCAGCTACCACTGCAGAATAACCATTTTCATCCCTCTTTATCAGGCAGTTCTATGGTTCCCAAAGAAAAAGACAGTGTGGCTCAGAAGTGGGGCCTAGGCTGCCGTAAAATCACCACCACCCCTCCCTGTCACGGGGCACCTTGCTCCTTGAAAGTATACTCTTAGGCTGACTCTGGTGATCAGACTTAGGGGTTCTGACAGCCATGTGAGATGAGTTAGGCCTGGATCTTGGGTGGCTGCCCTAGGGTTCATATCACACTCCCAACACCAATACTTATCTTTGCTTTCTATGTGCTAGGCATGGTTCTAAGTGCTAGAGATATGTCAATGAATGAAAACCCTTGTCCTCTTGGAGCTAACAACCTAGTGGAGGAAAGACAGACCATCAGTCCCCTGGCCTCCCTCCCTCTTTTCCTCAGAATGTTGAGACCAAAGGCCAGGCCTGACCTTGCCAAGAAATGGAAGCATAGGACAAGCACCCAAGGCTACACTAACTTTCACTGCCCACAGGATTACACATAACTTTCTCTCTGGTATTAAAAGCCTATGATCTGGCTCTAACCAACCAGCCTACTACCTCTGCACCAGCCCCCTTCTACCCCTGGTGCCCCTATGCACACATCTTCATCCAGACTTGTCACAGACATGCTTGCCTTGTGAGGCCTGAACAGCCTCTTCAAACCTTTGCCTTTGCTTATCCTGTTCCCTTCCATTTGGAATGTTCTCTGGATTCTCCTTTTCACCTCAGAAAATTTTGTGTTTTTAGGCAAGCTACCTTTCCAGCTGTGCCCTCTCCAGCTCTTACCTTTATGTCTGCTTCATCTCAACTCCTTTAACTCCTCCTCTGTGCCACTTCCTCTTACAGTCTAGCAAGCTATCACCTCCTCAGGAGCAAGCTCTGGTTCCCCACAGTATTCAACTCAAGAGAGGCTCAGGTCATGCTCACTGAGCAAATGCTACTGTCTCCAGAGAAAGGATGACCCCAAACAGCTCGTAAATAAATACAAAGCAGCAACAAACTCTCCCCAACCAGCTGCATTCGGAACAGCCCTACACCACTGTGGCTCAGGAGGCACCTTGCTTTACTCCGCTTCCAGAGGCAGCAGAGAGTATGGATCCTTGGCTCACAGGGACATTTCTGGGGCCAGCAAGGCCCTATCTGACCCAGACCAGCCATTGCCAAATCACCTCCTGCTTAGGTCACATTAGCTACAAATCAGTCCCTTATTCTGGCCTGGATGGGATCACACTGTTCTCTTTCCCTGAACTAGAAAAGACTTGTAATTTCATCACACCCTCTCCCACCCTGGATCCCATGTAGACAAGCATCGTCTCTGGCTTTCAGGAAGGAAAGTCCTTGTGCTTGTCCTGCTGTGAGCCCTCCCATCAGTCCTGCCAGCTC